CTACACAATCCAAGGTACTACCTCCCCTTCTCTAGAAATGCACTCATTGTAAAATAAACCTTTAATGTCTTCCCAATCTCCTTCACATTTATTGATGGGCATTTTGATGCAAAGCCTCAGATTCTGACCTCTGTCCAACTTTAATTAAATTGCTGGTTTATGCTGGTTGCCATCCTATTTTAGAGTTAAACTGTAATAGTTCAAAAACAAGGCCTGGTGGCTTTGTGGTTAAGGCTTCAGCTCACCACAGTCAGCAGTCAGAACCCACCAGCCACTCCTGAGACAGAGGAGACAGTCTGCTTCTGCAGACTTACAGCCTTGGAAATCCTCTGGACAGTTCTACTGCGTCCTATCGGCACTACAGTGTATGGTCACATCCTATAGTGGAAGCCAACACTACAGCAAAAGGTTTGGTTTTGGTTTTTGGCAATGACACCAAAGTATAATGAAATAATAAACACAGGTAAACACCCATGATTGTAGAGTTGCTACTCCATTTTGACAATGCCCTCAACCAGTCCATTTACACAAATTTTGCACCGTTGTCCACAAAGCCCTACATTGGAGTTACAGCTCAGAACTGGTCATAAAAAATAGGGCTGGGGAGAGGCAGTGAAAAGGAATGTAGCCTTGACCTATCTATCACTGGTCTGCTCCGGGTACCATAAAACAACACCCAACTTCACTTTCTTAATCAAGTAAGAGTCAAATGTGCAGCAGCTTACATTACAATGATTCATGCTTATTTCTAAAAAGACAAAAGGGTTCTTTAAAATATTTTCAAGCTAGTTCTCACACAACCTTCTTTAAACTTTGGACCCATAGCTAGGATTTGAAGGCAATTCAAATGTCCCATTGTTATGATAATGAATCAGTGGGTTGGAAGGAAGTCTTTCTGCAAATCACTATCAAGGCTCACCTTTGAAAGTGAAAGGTCACTGAAGATGACATTGCCTGGCAGGACATCTGTGTTGTTTTGTGGTAGAGACAAGGCTCTCTGGCAGCATTACCTATATAGTTCTAAAATTAAGGGTATAATCTAGGCTTAAAGATTATTATTTTTATATCTATACATTATCTCTTGATTCAAGGCCCAGAAAGTACAGAAATCCCAATTTAGTCTGCTGTATTGGGCTCTATTCCTCTACAATCATATCAGCTATGATATAAACGTGATGATTCCGACTTTATCATTGGTAACTGAATAAATAGTTTGTTAAAAAAACTAGAAGCCCTGGTGGTGTAGTGGTTACAGGTTGGGCTGTGATCCAAAACGCCAGCAGTTCAAAACCACCAGCAGTTCCCAGGGACAAAGACTTTCTACTCCCTACAGAGTTACAGTCTTGAAAACTGCTCACAGGGCAGTTCTACCCTGTCCTATAGGGCCACTATGAGTCTGCCTCCACTCAATAATGGCGAGTTTCAAGTTTTTGAGTGTAGAAAATTATCCTCACATTAACAGTATTGGATTTGAAGTAAAATCAATACTTTTATATTTAATGATTGACCAAAAAAACCCCCAAAACACACTGATTTCAAGGCAATGGTAAAATACAGTGCTAAGAAATTGTTTAAAAGAGAGAAGAATCTCCTTTGGAAATGATGATGGCAACATATGTACCAATGTGCTTGATACAACTGATGTATGGATTATTGTAAGAGCCCCCAATAAAATGCTTTATTAAAATTCAAAAAATAATAATCAAATAGAGAAATCCTCATAGTGACCTGAGGAGAAATTAAAAGGGCGGATGTTACTAGCTGCCAGGGCCAGAACAGTTTCATGGTGACTTCCACAAAGGAATTCCCAATAAAGCTTACTTTGAAAAACAGGCTCAATTGCAAATAAATAAGTATCTGGGTAGAAAAGATGAAACATACTTTCCTCTAGTTCTCCGCCCCCCACCCCATCATGATCCCAATTCTACCTTACAAATCCAGCTATACCAGAGGATGCACAGAGGTACAGATAGGAACTGGAAACACAGAGAATCCAGGACAGATGACCGCTTCAGGACCAGTGGTGAGAGTGGCGATACCGGGAGGGTGGAGAGAAGGTAGGGTAGAAAGGGGGAACTAATTATAAGCATCTACATATAACCTCCTCCCTGAAGGAGGACAACAGAAAAGTGGGTGAGGGGAAACATCAGACAGTGCAAGATATGACAAGATAATAATAATTTATGAATTATCAAGGGTTCATGGGTGGGGGGGGAATGGGGAGGGAGGGAGGGAGAGAATGAGCTGATATTAGGGGCTCAAGTAGAAGGCAAATGTTTTGAGAATGATGATGGCAGCAGGTGTACATGTGTGCTTGACACAATGGATGTATATATGGATTGTGACAAGAATTGTACGAGCCCCAATAGAGTGATTTAAAAATAAATAAGTATCTGAAAGCATCTGCTTTAAAGCATACTCTAACATCAGCCACTGTGATGTCCTTTACACATAGTTAATCCTCACAAGAAACTAACAAGAAAATATCCTTCTTTTCAAAAGTGCCAACAGATTTAGGGTGATTAAGTAACTCATCCTTGGCCCCATAAGTCATTAGTAATAAGACCAAGACCCTAGGTCTGTCTGGATGCAGGACCCATACTTCTCTACTCCAGTACACCTTCAAAACCCAAACCAGGATAACTAAATTAATTCATATCTGCTACCAATACCCACCCTTCAAGTCATTCATGGATTAGACACCAACTACGTGCTAGCCCTAGGGTACAGTGGGAATTAAGATGAACAAAGTCTTTCTTGGAACTTAAAGACTCTAAAGCAGCTTTTCTCTTATCAGGATGCTTACTTACACCTGGGAACACAGAAACTTTTTCCAATTTTCCCAAGCATCTCAAAAGCCAGCTCACTGCTAGTGAGTTGATGCTGTCTCACTCCAATATCACTCTGGATACACAGGAGCAATCCTGATGCACAGCAGTTAAATGCTCAACCACTAACCAAAAGGTCAGTGGTTGGAACCCACCAACAAAGCCACTCCACAGGAGAAAAATGTGAAAAAAGTTCATGGAAAAATTAAAACATAATAGGATTTTCTTCCACAAACTCTGTGAAGCTCTCTTATATGGCAGTCGGCTTCTATCAAGATTACAACCTTGAACACAAGGTGGCTGTGAGTCAGAATCAATTCAATGGCAACAGGTTTGGTTTTCAGTTTAGGTAAAGGCGAAGCTGATTCATTATAGACAAGGGGTACCTTAGCATTAATGCTTAAATGCTGACTGAAAAATGCTGCTCTAAGGGGAAAGAAATATTACATGAATAAAAGTATGTTTTATTACTAAGATATAACTCAGGAAAGTCATTATAAGGTTACATTAAGCCAGACTTCAGAAATAATAGATAATTCACACATACTTAAGGAGCTTCAAAAGGTTCAAAGAAAAATTCTATTCTATTTAATTCCTTTATCCACAAACTTTTTAAGTCCTCCTTGTACATTCGTGAAGGAAATACAGCATGGTTATTAAGAGATTAGAACTGCCTGGTTCAAATGCTGACTCTACTACTTACTAACAACTTTACCTCTGGCTCTAAGCTTCAGCTTCTGCATCTGTAAAGGGAAATGGGGATAAAACAAAAACAAGCTATCTCTTAGATTTCAGTGATGAGTGAGAACTAGATAAGATGTTGAATGTAAAGGAGGCTTAATAGCCCAGGACCCTTCAATTACTCTTATTATGACTATGACTCATGTACCCACTATGTACCAAGTACTGTTAGGCGACAAAACACTATGCTATGAACTGGGGAAACAGCAATGAGTAAGACAGTGACTATACCTTCAAGAAAGTTCTAACCTAGCATGAGCAAACAGCCATGACCCAAAGCAGAATAGGAAAAACATGGGAGGAAGGTATAAAGCAGCAAACATTAAAATCATACCCAATTTTCGAAGAATCCTTTTACATTCATCCCTACTAAGATCCAAAAGGGTTGGCCACACAACAGGCATTGCTGCTTCCTTTTGGTAGCCCCAAAGAGCTGGTCTTCCCTGCAAGAGAAAAGAAACCAGTTCACTATGGTGTACCTAAAGAACCCCTCACCATGAGTTCCACAAGCTAACGAGCGGTTTTTATTACTACACTTCGCCACACCTGACAAACGAAGAGCATAGATCCTTTGAGAAATTATGATGCCAGCCCGTGACAGTGGGAAGAACACAGGCTTTCAGGTCAGACTAGGTGTTTGTTCCAGCTTTTCTTATGGGTTGTGTGGTCCTGGGTAAATTCACCTGTGAGTCAATGGTTCACACATTTGTAAAACAGGTACCACTTATTCTGTTGGGATGATTGGAGAACAGTAGCCAGCATGTAATTTAATAAACAGACACTACTATCTGTGTTACATTAAACAAACTGCTTGCTTTCTTCATGTCTATTTCCTCATATGCAGAGTTACATGAGATAGAGTCAAAACATGTTGCCTCTGGGGTTCATGTCCATACATGCATGCTTTTATAACAAGCATGCTTAAATATGTGTCTCCGGGCTGGGTAGATGGCTGAAGACAAGTTCTCTCAGAAATACACCTGCTTTGGACTTGTTCGGTTGCCTTCCAAAAAGAAAAACAATGTCCAATCAAAACAGTGGCTTCAGAGGGGATCTGCTGGGCTGGAGTCAAGGCAGAGAAGTCAGTCAGAAGGTCATGGTGACTGTTTCGGGAATTCCAAAGAGGTCATCTTGATAGACTGTATTAAAGGGCAGGAAAGTTTCGACAACGAATTGTTTTCCATTATGACAGTGCACCTGCTCCATCTTTGAGGAGCAAGGGCTGTCCCACAAGCATTTCGCCGGGAAACCTATCCCGCCTGCCCTACAGCTCTGATGCTGGCCCTCCTGATTTCACTTTGTTCCCCAAACTCAAAAAACATTTTAAAGGGACAAGTCTTGAGCCCCTCAAAGATGCCAAACCTGCCCTTTTGTGGTGTAAATCCAAGAGCACCCAATTCTTTGAGGAAGGGTTAGACACATGGGAACACTCCCTTCAGAAGTGTTCATCTATGGAGGCTCTGTGGACAAACTGCTTCGTATCTTATTTTTCTGCTTCATCAAAGGTGGCTACAGCTTTGCAGCAAGACCTTGAGACCTACCCTCAGTTAGTTCTTGGATGACTAAATGGAAATCCAAGAAAGAAATCTCCCTTCAAGTCTGAACAATGAAGTATAAATTTAGACCCTGGAGTCATGCAACAACCATTTACCCAAAGTTTCCTATTGGTGTGCCAGGAGCTGGCTTCGTACTGAGAAGCTCCCGGCTGAGGGGCCAAAGGTTACAGCGCCAGACGCTGGTACCCAGGAGACCCGTGGAAAACATGTTTAGCAGATCAATGAATGGTGGAGGCGGTAGGTGCGTCCAGGGAGCCAGCGAGCCAGCGAGCGAGCGCGTGCAGGACAGAGCGAGCTCCCAGTCTAGTCCAGCGCCGGACATCCGTGGAAAGGACTTGCCATCTCCCTCTGCAGGCAGGCGCTGGGGCCGCTAACTCCAACTCGGTGCCCGGAGTTGAGCCTCCCCTCGCCCTGTACTTCCCAGAGTCCTCTCGGCTCAGAACCAACCGAGGACCGGGAGCAGTGGCCTCGGCGCCCCAATCGGCGGGGTGACATAAAGGAAGGGGGTGGGGGGGAGGAAGAAGGGGCCGAGCCAGAGGAATCCGCTCCCTCCACGAGCCAGGCCCCTCCTCCC